AGTCAAACGAATACTAAACTTTGATTAAACAAATGATTTTTTAGGAATTAATTTTTTTTTTTACTTTTTAGCAATGGAAACAAATTTTATAACCAATTGTGGAAAAAAAATATACTTTAATGGACAATTTCCATGTAAAACAAAGTCAAACGAATAGAAAATTTAAAAAATTTCCGAGTGGGAAATTATACCAATCAAACACACTTGAAATCATTTTCCCTACAAAACATTTTCTAGACAAATATTTTTTCTGTAAAACATTTTTTTTTCACTCATTTTCCACCCTTGCAATCAAACGCACCCTTACTCTAAACTCAACCGACTTAATTTACCTTTACACTTCTCTTACAACCCTTATCTTGTGATGCCATCATTTCATGACCTTGCCTCCAAAATTCTGGTGCATCGTACTACTAGATTTCTTATCACCAAGTGAAAGCAATTTTTCATTCTCAAAGTCGACTTCTGATGCATCGTACTACTTAGATTTCTTGCACGTTAGTGCTTTAATTTTATTGTAGCTAAGGCGTAGCTTTCATTCTCAAAGTCGACTTTATCGTTTGTTAAAAAAGGGATGAGCTGCATCCTTGACGGTCACCACCGTCCTGTACTGAGCCTTGGTGAAAGAGGTAAATCGCAGGTTATGCCTTCAAGGGTACAGGGTGAAAGACTACTTGTACACTTGCACTTATCCAATGGCCAAATCCATATTTCAGGATTCAAATTCTTGACGCCTGACGGGGCAGCCTCAAACAAAATTGGAGTTTTTCCACCTTCCCCTTTTATCACTTGGAGATGTGCCATGGGGGCGACTTTATCATTTGTTACTTCAAATGCAAGTTGTTTGTAGTCGACTGATTAGTTTGCATTTCATCTAAGAGCTATTAGATTGATGGTATAGCTTCTTTTTTTTCTTTTTAGAATTTCATCCCTCTCCATATGAAATTTAAACCCAGTTTACAGTCTGATAATATTTTGTTTTTACCGCTTGAGTTACGCACTTACGCCTAGATCTCGATGGATCGTATAGTTGCGTGTGGAATTTTTTTTTTTTAAATCAAGTTAGATTACAGCTAAGTAGTGTTTTATCTCATTACCAAGAATCGCGGCCCTATTATTACGCCAATCACATAATCTATGAAGATCTCACGAGCAATCAAATCTTGTGCCGTTTTCTTAATAAGACATCGACAAGAATAATGAAAAGTATTTGACTTTCTGTCCATGAAAGATAATTAGGGAGCTCTACATTAACAAACATAATTATTTAATTATAGAAACAATAATCATTGTGACTAATTTTATGAAAATCAGAAAAAAAAAACTCTTTAATAGAAATATATTTATTTGAATTTATTCTAATTAATATGTTAGTACTTTCAATTTTTCTTTATTAAAATGATTCCATTTTATTTTTATTAATCATAAAACATGTAAATGCAAGCCGAATAATTTTAGTCATTAGCCGCTTTTTTTCTTGTAAGTTGCAGCAGAAACATGTCATTAATAATATAAATAATGAAACTTCAAATAATATTATATTGTTGATTATTTGTCCGTAAAATTACTAAATTATTAGATTACCGTTTGAATTTTGATGGTGAAAACGAACTTTCCTGTTAGAAGGCATATTAGACGCAAATGCAAGTATTTAATTGATATATTAAAATATCATCCATAATGCGTTTCAATCAAAGCGAATTCTATCAAACGTAGTCAAGACTAGAGATTATTCTAACGTAGTCAAGATTGACTCACAATCAATCAAAGATCGAATAGAATCTCATGCCATGTTTGGTCATATCCCTCCCCAATGACCATATACTTATAAATAAGCAATCCTCAAAGTTTTAACTAAAGTATCAAAGACACAATACGTCATAATTCAACGTCTTTAATTCAATTTCTTCAAGTGTCAAAGATGTTCAATTGCTGCCAATAGCTCGGGAACTTGATACTCGAAGGTAAAATACTTGATATTATATATAGCCCTTGTTTGAGCTCTATTTTAATGGAATGTTGAGAAAAAATTGAGTCTTGGAATATTGATTTTTGTAGAATACGTAGTTAAAAAATAAGTAAAATTTTTTTATTTTTGTGTAATATTATTTTATGTGAGAATGTGTGGTTGAAATGAGTTTTTGGAAAAATGGGGGGCCAAACATAGACATAATGATCAACTGTTACATTCAGAATTCTTATCCTTGTTGAACTCTATTTAGTAAAATAAATAACCCCTAAATTCTAGTCCAAAAGATGGTGTAGAAGTAAAAGGAGGGGGACAATAAAGGCAAAGGAAATTCTAAAATTGTAGGCTAGTAAAAGAAGAATTTAGCAACATGCACTTGCCGCCTCATAGTTTGAATTCTAAAGGGAAAAAGTAGAGGCAAGAATAAGAAGCAAAGAATAACATAGAGCAAAAAAGTGAAAAAGGATATTGCAGCAAATGGGCATTGATTACATGTAACCCACTTTGAATAAGAAAATTTCCAACTCTGTAAACACCATCAGACCTTCTTTGGTGGACTCTTAAACTGGTTGGTCAAGTGTGGCAACTACATTTGGATTTTGGAATTTCAAAATTTTAATTTCTTGTCCCAATTGTCCAATATTTTTAGTCTTTCTTTGCCTTAGTTTTAACTCGGAGGAAAGATTTGAACGGAACTGTTAATTAGGCCATGTTTGATTGCAATGAATTCCATGAAAAATGTCATATTCGAGGAAAACGAATTTCACTTTGACCGTTTGATTGCAACGTGGAAACGAAAATCGAATTCCAAAATACATTTATTTTGTTTATATGGAAAACGAATTTCTATGGGTTTGGTGGATTTTTATTTTCAACTAACATTGAATTTGAATTCTTTTCCACATTTGCCTATTAAACGGATCCTTAAAGTAAAACTCATATAGTCGACTTTAAATTTACTGGCCGTAAATATATTTTTAGAGTGTTTGGGACACATTTTTTTGAAAGAATGTATTATTGAATAGTAGATTTATGGAGAATGTGTGGTTAAAAATGAAGGAAAAGTTATTGATGTGATGGAACATATTATTTTA